GATCTGCAGGTAGGAGCTACAGAGAGATCTGCAGATTCCTGTTCTTTGTTTGGGATTTGGAGGTGCCCAGATGAGGCCCAGCTGTGAAGCAGTGCAAGCTGCTGTGGGGCCTTGGGCCCTCTTTTGGATATTCTGGGTCTCTCTGACCCAACTGCAGTTCGTTAGGTAAATTTAGATTGCAAAGGGCCAGGTCATTCATATGCAAAAGCCTCTGCACACAGCCTGGGTGGGGCGGGTTCTCAGGGAATCAACAGGGCAGAGCAAACAGCTATGGCTGGTCCTCAGCCCTGCTCTAAGAGGTCCCGGGTCTCAGTGTCCCGAGGTAATATCTGCAAGCACTTCTTAGAGAAAGCTGCCCTCGAGTTCCGCCCAATGCTAGACAGTCCAGTTTTTTCCCGTATGTGTCTGGGTCCCCAGAGACTTGCCCAGAACTGGAGTTGGCACCGTTGGGAGCTTGTGTCTCCCTCCCGATTGAAAAAGACAACTGTGCCCTCAGTTGCCATCCCTTTCTGCAAATACCTCTGTACTTCTGCATTTTACTTCTGCACCTCCTCTGAGTCTCAGTGTGCTTTTCTCTTTCCTTTTAGTTGTAGAATTTCCACTCAGCCAGCCTTCCTGTGGTTCTGGATGATGTCTGTTTTGTCTTTTAGTTGTATTTTTGAATTGTTTATGCGAGGTAGCAATTTCAGGTGTTTACCTATGCCGCCATCTTATGCTTCTTTGAGAAGTCTTTTCTGGTAGCCTTTCTCATCTCTGAACTTCGACTTAGTTGGGACATAAGTTAATACTTCATTATTGTTAAGTTCTTTGATCTCTGTTAGTTTTGTGTCACCAACTTGATGATTGACTTCAAGCTCTTTGAGAACTAAAGTAATTTCTTTCTTATCTTAATATCCTTATAGTGCAAAACATATAACGAGAGTTTGATACTAATGATTATTTATTACAGGCAGAAAGTAAAATAGACGCAGTATATCATTTTATGTTTAAAAAGATTACTTAGTAGCATGGCAGGACCTGGAGAGTATCATGCTAAGTGAAATAAGTCAGAGAAGGACAAGTATCACATGATCACACTCATATGTGGAATCTAAGTCACAAAATAAACTGATGAACAGAGTAGATCCAGAGAACATGGAAGCATGGAATTGAGTTTGGACTTTCAGAGGGAAGTTGGATGAGGCTGGGCGGGTAGGAGGTAATCAACCAAAGACCTTGAATACATATACGCATAACCCATGGACACATAATAGGAGCTAAAGGTCTGGGTGTGGGGCGGGGGGCAGGCTGGAGGAGGTTAATGGGGGAGAAATGGGGACATATGTAATATGTTCAACAATAAATAATTATTTAAAAAAAAAGATTTGTTAGTGTCCAAAATGTAGTCTTATTAGTATTTTACTTTGTTTTAGGTTCCTAAATATTTGTCACAGCAGTGGGCTAAAGCCCCTGGAAGAGGTGAAGTTGGGAAACTGCGGATTGCTAAGTAAGTTCTTTATATATTTTTGACATTTTAAAAAGCTGTTTAAAAAATTTTCATAAGTGCTTTTATTTTTTATTTTTATTTTCTTTTTTAAAATATATTTTATTGATTTCTTTTTTTAAATATATGAACTCTATCCCCAGTAGGGGGCTTGCAGGAGGCAGCCGATCAGTGATTCTATATCATCATTGATGTTTCTATCTATCTCTTCTTCTCCCTCCCTCTCTGAAATCACTAAAAATATATTTTTAAAAATTGTCATTCTTAGGAATTCGGTTTGAAATTTATTTTTAAAAACATGGAATTTCACTCCTTTCCAGAATTTTACCTGGAAAATGAGATGTAATGAGCCTGTCGAAGTTAGTCAAGAGATGGTTAGATGCCCTGTAGAGAGCCATGTGTGCACACGGGTAAATGCACAAACACACTTGCACTGCCCCCCTACTGACAGGTGTAAATATAAAGTCAGATTTATTGGTAAAATTTATAGGCAGTAAAGCAGCAGAATATGTAATTCCCTCATTTCTCCATCCTTTCCACATCCTGTGGGAAGGTGTACTTGGATTGGCATAACTGGATATGTCAAATTAAGTTCTTTAGTAGAAGGATTTTGCCATTGTGCCACAAAGTTTAAAGTGGTGTCACTTTAAAGTTTCTTCATTACAGGTAGGGAATACCTGGTAAACAATGTAACAGCGTAGCTTCCTGGTGGAGAAAATGGCCTTATTAGAAAGGGAATCCTACCAAGCTCAGCCAGTGGCAGCCAGAGGCCTTGTGTTCTTTCTGTCCATTCATTCTTAATCTAACTCTAGCCAGATTTCCATATCTGCTTTGAAACAGCTTCTGTTTTATCACCAGTGTCCTTTTCTTTATCAAGATTTTGCTTCAAAGCAAACCACCCCAAAATGTAGTGGCTTAGAACAAAAACCATTTTATTTGCTTATAATTTTTCGGGGCAGTTCTGGTTATGGCTGGCTTGGCTAATTTTCCTGGCTAGAATGGCCTCACTTGTGTCTTGTCTTTGGCTTGTTGTCAGCTGGGGCAGTGGCCATGTGTATTTCATCTCCAGCATGCCTGTTCACATGGTGGTGAAAGCAAAAGAGAAGACACCCCAATCCCCAAGCACTTTGCAAGTCTGTTCTTGCATCTTGTTTGCCGAAGCCCTAGTCACAAAGGCTATTCCCACAGAGATGCCCAATTTCAAGGGTGGAGCAATAGATTCCACCTTGTAGTGTGAGTTACTGCAAGAATTTGTGGTCCATTTTTGTAGTCTTCCACATCTGTATTCCTAAATCTAACAGCCAACTAGCAGCCCTCTTAATTGACCTTTAACAGAATTTAACATAGATGATCACTTCTATCCCCAAACCCTTTCTTCAGTTCACTTCCGGGACACCACTCTCTTGATTCTCCTCTTTCCTCACTGGGTGTTCCTTCTCAGACTCTATTGCTGGTTTCTTCTCATCTCTCAGTCTCTAACTGTTATAGGACCCTATGGCTTAGTGTTTAGTTCTTTTCTTCTCTCTCTTTGACTGACTTCTTAGGTGGTCTCATCTGGTTTCATAGAATATCTGGTTGTATTTAAAGATATCTGAAGTATGGCCTCTCCTCTGATCTCCAAGACTCATATATCTGACCACTCTGATATTTCCTTTTGGATGTCTCAGAAGCATCTTAAACTTAGTAATTGTTCTTCCTCTGTTCCTTCTTTCTGGAACACTCTTCCTTTGAATTCTCAAGGCTAGTATTAGTTCAGTGAGGCCTTTTCTAATCATCCTCTCCCTCTCCCTTTCTCTCTGAAATCAATAAAAATATATTAAAAAAAACAAATTTAGCCAAAACCGGTTTGGCTCAGTGGATAGAGCGTCGGCCTGCGGACTGAAGGGTCCCAGGTTCGATTCCGGTCAGGGGCGTGTACCTGGGTTGCGGGCACATCCCTGGTGGGGGGCGTGCGGGAGGCAGCTGATCAATGTTTCTCTCTCATCGATGTTTCTAACTCTCTATCTCTCTCCCTTCCTCTCTGTAAAAAATCAATAAAATATATTAAAAAAAAAACAAATTTAGTAATGCTATGACAAGCTTAGTAATAATAGCTATTTTATTCTTTTTTGCTGTTGTTAATCCTCACCCAAGGATATTTTTTCATTGATTTTTTTTTTTTTTTTTTTAGAGAGAATGGAAGGGAGGGGGAGAGACAGAGAAACATTGATGTGAAAGAGACACATTGATTGCTTACCTCCTGCATGTACTCCCACAAGGGCCAGGGACCGTGACCCTTCAGTCCGCAGGCCCAATCTCTAATCACTGAGAAAAACTGGCCACGGCACTATTTTTTTTAAATATATTTTTATTGATTTCAGGGAGGAAGGGAGAGAGAGAGAAACATCAATGAGAGAGAATCATTGATCAGCTGTCTCCTGCACGCCCCCTATTGGGGACTGAGCCTGCAACCTGGGCATGTCCCCTTGATCGGAATTGAACCTGGGACCCTTCAGTTCGCAGACTGACACTCTAGTCACTGAGCCAAACCAGCTAGGGCCAGGGTGCTATTTTATTCTTTAGTTCCAAAAGTGAGATAGTTAGAAAATCAGAATGTGAACATTTTTTTCTAATTAAAAATATTTATTTATTACTTTTTCGGGGGGGGACAGGGACGGGGACGGGGACATAAATGTGTTGTTCCACTTATTTATGTATTCATTAGTTGTTTTTCATATGTTTCCTTACCAGACATCGAACCCACAACCTTGGCATATCAAGCCGACACTAACCAACTGAGCTACCCAGCCAGGACAGAATGTGAACATTTTTATTTTTAAGGCATAGGTTTTTTCTGCTGCTTCTCCAAAAGTATATAACCTGGACATCTTTTTTGCCTAAAATACCCACTGTTTGTATGCAAGGACTATACCTTTTTGCGGTTGAGAGGGTGTCACTTTTAAAGTTTCTTCATTAATCCATTCAGCTGTGGAGTTTGGATTTGGTGGACAGCCTCTGGATTTTGTTCTTTGGAGGAGCAATGCTGTATTTTTGGATGTTAAACATAGTTTATACACTAAGTATTTTGTTCTTTATCTTACTTTTGTTTAAAAATATGCTTTAAGCCCTGGCTGGTGTTGCTCAGTTGGTTGAGCATCTTCCCAAGAGATCTCTGGTTCAGTTGCTAATAAGGGTACTTGATCCCCCAGTAAGGGGCGTCCAGGAGGCCGCCATCGATGTTTCTCTCCCATTTTGTTTTAACAAGATATGGATTGGAAGCAGGCATGCATTATATCCAAAGTTCTTAAGGTTAGGTAGAGACAGGCAATTTCTTTTTTTCTGAAAATATAACTACCCAGCCAGCTCAGTGGTTAGAGTGTCAGCCCGCAAACCGGAGAGCGTCAGTTCAATTCCCAGTCAAGGGCATGTACCTAGGTTGCAGGCCCAATCACAGCCCGGGTTGGGGTATGTGCAGGAGACAACTGATGGATGTGCCTCTCACATATTGATGTTTTTCTCTTCTTCCCCCGCCCCCCTCCAGTTGGTCTAAGAATCAATGGAAAAAATATCCTCAGGTGAGGATTAACAACAACAAGAAAAACCCCACTACATATTTAATAGTGGAACCAGGCTTGAATTCAGGCCTTTGAGTGGTTAGAAAACTCGAGCAGGTTCTAGTTCCAGCTCTTTCACTTACTTTGTATAGGTCATGTAATCTGTGTTTAGGTCCTTATCCCTAAAATTGCCTGTTTTGTAGGCCTTTTATGTGAATTCAGTGAGATAATATGGAAATTATTTGTTTATTTAACTTACAAAGTGGACATATTCCTGGAAAGTTGTAGATAAATCACATTTTTGTGAGGTGTTCTACTCTTGTTAAAATAAAAATGAATGTATACTTTTAAACAAAATCTGTGGTGGTCTTTTTTCTGGAATCTTTGGTAATACAGATAATTACCTACTTTTTGTTACAGACTTCAGACTATCTTATAATTGGTTTTACTGAAAATGGGAGCCATACAACAAAATCTCAGAATTGTATGTCACTGAAAAAAGGCAGGCTAAAGGAAAAATGTATTTAACACATTGTATGGGGAAACATATTTATACGTTTTACGTTGACTGTAGTAGTAGAGCACGGGACACATATTAATATGTTTTTTATAGACTAGCGGTAGAAGGCGGGTAATGTATAAATACGTAAACTAAAGTTATTGTAATTTTACTGAACGTTGCCATTTGTGCAAAAAGATTAGCAAAAATGGCCCGCGCCACCTGTTAGCGCGTGATAAAAGCTACCCGCAAACAATGTGTTAAATAATGAACACGTAGTATTATAAAATGACCACACTAGAGCTCAAGCCTGGGTCCTAGTCCTAAGTGGCTGTCGATCATTACCTTTGGCCTTGGGCCTTATACATCTAAGACTTAGGTTTCTTGTTTGTAAAATGTGGATAATAATGCCTTCCCAACCAATTCAGAGAGTGTTTATCAGACAAATGAAATAGCTTATAGTTTCTTTAAATGCTTTATAAAATCAACTGATCTTTCTTTGTTTTTGTTTTTTTACTTTTATTTATTTACTAATGGCCTGGTGCACGAATTCATGCACATTGAAAGTAAATTAATTAGAAGAAATATTTCAATATCACTATTTGCCCTTTCTCTATAATAGAAATGTCAACCAAATTCACAATGACAGATCAAAACACGTGTGCGATTGGCGGCAGCGAGAGCTTCATATGTATTGTGCATGTGTGAGTCATCTTAGCTTTTTGTAGATACAGAATAAACTTGCTTAATTAGACCTGCTTTCTGATTTAGCTAAACTTCTTCCAGCCCAGTGAAGCACCCCAACTTCTCTTTCAGGTAATTGTCAGCAACACAGCAGTAAATATCAACAGGAAGCAGATTATGATTGTAGATCATGCTGGGAGAATTCTATGAGGATCAAATGTAATGAGGCATGGGAAAACGCTTCACAGACATTTGGTTACAGTGTGAAATGTTAACACCTGGCTATA